CAGACGTAGAATTAAAAGCACAAGATAAATCTGAAACTTTGGTGTCTTCAAGCAAATATAGCTCTCCCTTGCTCACACCTTTTCCCAGCATCTTACTGGTCTTAATATCCTGAAAGCAAACATCATTAGGACTGAAAATAACATTGCAATTTAGGTCATTAGTTGCTCTCTTAACAGATAATAAGTTTGAAGTAAAAGTAGGCATGTAAAGAGCTTGAGAATCTTTATTAAACAGTTTCAGATTTCCTATTCCTTCTATGGGTATTTTATCACCGTTTGCAATTTCTACACTGCCTAGAGCCGGGGTTACATTATTAATCAGTCTAGCATCCCTAATCATATGATGAGAAGCTCCTGAATCAATGATCAAAGGTCTAGCAGTGTGAGATCCATTTTGAACAGAGTTTAAAGTATTAATACTAATGTTACCAGAGTTCGCATTAAGAGCCTTTATAAGGGCCTCAATGTCTGACTTGCGGATGAATGCATCATCAGAAGATGGCTGAGACATAGCGTGAGAGGTGGAGCCACCAGTGTACTCATGAGCTCTCGCTTCATGTGCTTTGGCCTGGTTGAACTTGGCTGGTTTGAGGTGCGGGTGGAGGATCCAGCAGTTGGTTTTGGAGTGTCCCACCTTCTTGCAATGCTCACACGCCACATGCTTGTCTCCTCCTCCCCTTGGTTTGAATTGAGCTTTATTAGCTGCTGCACTTTCCACCTTCTCAGCCTTGTTTGCCATAGACAGCTCTTCTTTTCTCCCAAAGAGACCATCTGAGCCAATCTCCTTTTGAAGTTGTGCACACACATCATCATAACTTTGGAGCTCCTTAGCTCTCAATATGTGTTTAACCACATCACTGAAGTTTGAATTGAGTGTGAGAAGAAGACCAAAGACCTTGTCTTGCTCACGCCTCTCCTCAAGAGTGTTGGGATCATTAGTGTTTGGCCTTAGCATTTCCAATTCCGACCATAGCTGACTATACTTCCCAAGATGCTTGGTGAAGTCACTCTCCT